TGTAGATTATTTTGCGCTGTACATCCCCATATTTTTATTTTTATTTTTTTAGCATTTGTGAGGATTGAGCCCTCAAGAAGGGGCCTTGCCATGATGTACATGTTCTGGGCTAAGGCCCCCAGCAATCCTCGTGCCCGCCCTAAGTGAAGGCGGGCCAACAATTCAACAAGAGCCCTCTGTGCAAACATTTCACGAAGTGGGGTCCTTACAGTTGCAGCATGCTAGTTGGTTGGTGTGCACCGAGTATCGGAGCTCTGCAAACGCAGAAATCCGAGGGCCCCAGAGTTGGTTAGGCCCTGGGCACATAAATGTGAGGCCGACAATGCATGCTGGATATGGAGGCCTAAAATGCCAATGGTAAACCGGTCCACTATCTGAATCTGGCCGCAGGCCTTGATGAAAGAGCCGCAACTGCATCTCCTGCGCCCCAACCGCATTGGGCCTGGGTACAGGTATTGGGGCCCATGCGCAGGCTCAAGGGAGGCCGCCCACATGCAATACTGGCATATAGGCATGGAGGGCGAGTGGGCAGGGATCTTGGCCATTGCGAGCAATGCCGGCACGCTGCGCGTTTGCGAGGTGCTGCGTTGCGCTAGGCTGAGGTAGAGGCAGGCTAGCGCTATGCGGTAGAGCGCTGCCTGGGCGCAGGGCGCTGGCGGCCATAGCCGGGCTGCCTGTGGGCGCAGAGGAGGTGAAGGGCGAAGGTGGTTCTTCGGAGGTGAAGGGTGCTGTGTGGGATAACAAGGGAGAGTGAGGGTGAAGAGAGAGACGTACCTCGTGGAGATGGGAGGTCGACATTGGTGTTGACATCATCACTCGCTGGTCGTCAAGTTGTTTGGTTGCTTTCATACTGTAGTTGTAGTGATAGGTTGTAGAGTAGGTACGGCAACTGGCGCCATTCAAGAGAGAGAGCTACATTGGGTTATGCTGTTGGTGTTGCCCTATTGGGCTTGGACATTGACTCACGATTCTTCTGTATCGTTCTCAAATGGATGGTTACTCGGTTCCATTGTGATATCTGCTGTTGGACTTCAGTGTGATTTTGCAATCTGGATTTATGTGCTTCGTCCATATTCATGTTCCTTGCATTTTGGTATCGGAGCTGGTTCGATTCGCAACTTACCTTGGTGCGCTGGCGTTATACAGACTTGGTGCGTTGACGATGCTTCTTCGCAGTTGGTTCTTGTGACGTCAGGCCATGTTAGGCACACGACCTGGGTAGAGAGGTGTGCGCCGTGAGGCTATACGGCATTGGATGCCGTGGTTACAGCGGAATGTATGATTGGTAATGAGAGCATGTTGATGTGGCATTAAGCTGAGGTGGCACTGCATTGCGTTGTGGGTGGTACCGAGGCTAAGACCGATCATCAAATGCACACTCAGCTACATTGATGAGAAATCTGTGGTTGGGGGCAGCTATCTCTAGGTACGTTGTTCCCTTACCTTATCTGCTCTCTCAATCTCTTCTTACCGCGAGGAAGTGAGTCCAACTTGAGAGTCCTCTCTTTTGGTAAGGTGTCGTGTGTGCGCTACCTTGAGAGACGACAATCTTCCCAGAAGCATGTGGAAGGAGAAAGGGCGGTGCCTTTGAAGGGCCCTGGTCGAAGCACTGGGTCACGGTCACCATGCCAATCCAATGGGAGTAGGTCACGCATGCGATGGCTGCTTGTCCATTTTGGCACTTTGCTGCGCTATAGAAGTCGTGTCGGGTGTGCCAGCCCATAAGAGACGCTTACCAGACCGTCTATAAATACTTCTGGTTGGGGACTCGGTGTTGATACTGGCTGTGATCGTCGTCCTGTCTGCGACGTTAAATAATTCATGCGGAGATGGGGGCTCTCCTTAAATTCCTCCTGATCAACCAGATCACACCGGGTAGTAAGGCTCGTTCCATACGAGGGTAAATAAGAGTGGATGGGCTGGCTTGCTCGGCAATGACTTGGGCACAGGGGTGGGCCGACACAACACACGAAGACACTGCTGCTCAAAGATGCTTTTCGGTATGTTGGATTGAGGGGACGGTAGGTTCTAATTGGTGGTCAACTGGAAACACAACCATACCCACTATTCATACATCTGCAACACAGTCTTGTTTTTATTATTGATTAGTTGGTTGAAGGATTGCTAACACCTCACAAACAGTTAGTATAGGACTGTTGTATGCTACCATAGCCAGTTCTGTGCAAAACTTCTGTAAGTGAACTAATCAAGATAAAACTAACTACGTTGACAGTCTTTTGTGAATCATGTTGTATACTGGCACTTGATCGGTCAAGTAGGGGACCTGCCAGACACATTTATTTTTAGAAAATTAGGTGTCGGTCAGACACATGCTGTGGTAGGACTCCAGCAGGGAGTTGTAGTGCAGACAGTGTTTGCCTAACTGATGAGTGGGTCAGACACCGATGAGGGTAGAGTTGACAATGTGAGACTTACACGTTCAGGAGCACTTAGGGTCCCGCACGTGTTCCAGACCCTACAACCGGGAGACGAAGCACGGCTTCGTGCCGAACGTAAAGCCCGTGCTCTTGCAGCAGCGAGGGCAGCAGCGAACCTAGCAGCTAGAGAGCAGGCAGCAGCAGCCAGAGCAGTAGCAATCGCTAACGGCGCAGCCTCTGGTGCATCCTCGTCAGGGACCCTGTTCGGAATGCCCTCAAGGTCCGCGGGTACTTCCGGATCAATAGGTGCTGGAGAATCCACAAGTCAAATGGCGGGCTCACAGTTAAGCCTGTTGACCCCACGCGGTAGGGAGCTCCTAGCGCTCCAACAGGTCGAAAGGATCCGCGAGCGGTTAGAGAGGGAACTGAAGCAAGCAACCGATAGAGAAAAAGAGATCAAAAATAGAACAGCCAGGCTTGATACGTTAGAGGCAGACAAAGCTGCATTAGAGGGTTTGGATGAGTCAACCATGACTGACCAAGTGAAAATATGAAGAACAGCATGCTGTCGCTGCATGCGCATGTGGACAGCAGGTTGGACTTCATGCAGAACTCTTTAGACCAGATCTTGGACCTTTTGCAAAGGCCAGGATTCCGGTCAGCAGAACAGTCGCCGTTGCCGTTAACGACGATGTCAGGCCCCTTCCCGGTACAAGCTGGCACACAACCGAGTGGTACGTCTGCCTGTTGCTTCTTCTTCTTCTGGGTCAGCGGTGGTTGCTACACCATCACCGCAACAACCTGTTCCTCAACAGGGACAACGACAAGGTCAATGGTACCCAAAGACCCCTATGAAACCGCCCCTTGCCTTCTCCGGAGAGAAGAAGGACGAGGAACTCAACACATGGTTGATAACGGTTCCAGTATGGGTAAAGGTGAAGATGACTTTGCAGGAGGAGGAGGTGATTACTGCTGCATCTTACCTTGAGGGTAAGGCAGCCAAATGGCTGGATGGTTTAGTCACAAAGGTCGAGTACAGACGACGTATGGTGGACTGGGCTACGATCATTACATTAGACCAGTTCTTTGAAATGGTAGAAGCTCGATGGCACAATCCACAACAGGCACAAATTGCCACTGATGCGATGCACAGACTAGACCAAAGAAAGTTCAAGTCGGTCAGAGAGCTTACGACTACTGTAGAGAGCCTCATCGTCGTTCCTAGCATAAACTACGATGACCAGTTCCTATTGACCACGTTTGTGAGATGTCTCCCAGAGAATCTCAGAAATTTGCTGGTCAGTGAGGCTCGCCTCGAGTATCACTCATTCGAGACCTTATCTAGAAAAGCCTTAGATTTAGAGACAACTCTGTGAAGTGCTCAACCTACTTCAGTAGACGCGAGGAAGAAGAAGAGTCCACAGGAATGGAAGAAGAAGGGGAGCAAATTGATGATGGTTGAGTCTGATGGGACTCAAACAGAGATCGACGAGCTCACAGGCCTGTTGGACTATTCAGAGTACGATGGCGAGGAGATCGAAGAGGGTAGCACCCTCGCCGCAGTAGTAAAGACTAAGGCAGGTGGCCGAGGAAAGGGCCATCAAAAGAATCAAGGGCAGACCGCCTCCAATCAGACCAAAGTCGCTGATTGGGTCAAGGCAGGTCTTGATCAAGAAGTGTGGCGGGACCGCCGAGTGCGAGGCACTTGCATTAACTGTGGTGAATACGGACACACTCACGCAGAAGATACCTCCTACGATGGGGGCACTTTCTTTCCGGGCTTCTAGCTCGGGAAACACGTAAGGCCGGTGGAAGTTTTAGCTGCTTCTACTCAAGATGAAGTGGGCCAGGTACCCTCCCCACTTCATGAGCAGGCTATAACTAATAATTCTTTATTCACCCTGCAGACTCATCCGGACCAAACCATGCTCTGTACGTTGGATGTGTCTGAAGCCTTAGAAGATTTGGAAAGTGAGTGGTCAAGTAAGGACCCTCGTGAATCTTGGGTGGCACTAACGAAAGGTCCTAGAGGGGAACATTTCGTTATGGAAGTTGATGTAGGAGGCCGTAAATGTGGTGCCTTCATAGACATCAGCTCTATGCGGAACTACATAAGTCGCGACTGTTTGGAAAGGTTGCACCTACAGGACCGGGTACAACACCTTAGTAGACCCGTAGCATCTACTTTGGCCAATAAGGAGCGCATGATTGTCACAGACTATATTAAGGATGTAGTCAGCACCTTCTCCTATGGAGGAGGGGAACTTAATCACAAGATTTCGTTCCTGGTTAGCGACGACTTACCGTTTGATATGCTGTTAGGAATGTACTACCTTGAGGTTACCAAGCCCTAGTTTGACTGGGACAAGAAGGTGCTAAAGCATAAGTTGACTGATGGGAAAACAATTAGACTGACTAAGTTTAAAGCGAGTAGTATAATCGATACCTATGGCTGCTTGTGCGCATCAGCATTCTATAACTATTATAAACAGAACGAAGAGGAGGGTATGTACCTAGTGTATGTCTCTGAGAAAGGGGCGGCCGTTAAAACACCCCCAGAGATAGAACACGTCGTTGCTAAGTTCCCTGATCTGTTCACGAAGACTACAAGAGTCGTAGAAAGGGAGGTTGTCCAAGCCATAAAAATCATTCCAGGGAGTAAAACCCCAAAGGGAAGGATCTATAGGATGGCTCCGACCGAGTTGGATGAACTTCGGCGACAACTGAAAGAGCTGACAAAGAAGGGATGGATCTGGCCGAGTACTTCCCCCTACGGATCTCCAGTGCTATTTGTACCGAAGAAGGGGGGTACATTGACGATGTGCATTGATTATAGAGGCCTCAATGCCATTACAGTAAAGAACGCAGAGCCTCTACCTCGCATAGACGACCTATTGGATAGGGTGCAGGGATGTAAGCACTATAGTAAGATAGACTTAAAGTCCGGCTACCATCAGATCGCAATAAGACCAGAGGATCAACACAAGACTGCTTTTCAGACCAGGTACGGTCTGTATGAGTTTGTAGTGATGCCCTTTGGCCTTTGCAATGCGTCGGGTACATTCCAGCATGCCATGAATTGGATTTTTCATGACCACTTAGATAAGTTTGTCGTTGTCTACTTAGACGATATTCTTATCTTTAGTAAGTCTGTCGAGGGGCATGCACAACACGTTGAGACTGTACTTTCACTCTTGCGACAACACAAGTATAAAGTCAACTTAGAGAAATATGAGTTCGGACGCACTAAGATCTTATACTTGAGTCATGAAGTATCCGCGGAAGGTATTAGGCCGGAAGATGCGAAGGTGGCTAGTATCAGGGACTGGCCACGACCTCAGACTGTTACTGAGGTCAGATCTTTCTTAGGAATATGCGGCTACTATAGGAACTTCGTAAAGAACTATTCTACAGTCGCCTCTCCTTTGACTGATCTAACTCGACTTGACACGGCGTGGGAGTGGAGTGATGAGTGTGAGGCTGCTTTCAAACGATTGAAGCATGCACTCATGAATCATGAGGTTCTCATGGTGCCCGATCCTCAGAAGCCTTTCATTGTAACAACTGGCGCAAGCCAATACGGCATTGGCGCAGTGCTGGCTCAGCAGGACGGGAAGAAGTTGAGGCCAATGGAGTACATGAGCAAGAAAATGCCATCAAAGAAACTTGCAAAGTTCACATATGAAAGAGAACTCTATGCTCTCTACAAAGCACTTGTCCATTGGAGGCACTTTCTATTGGGAAGGTTCTTCTATTTGAGAACTAACCATCATACCCTAAAATGGATCAAGACCCAACCGACTCTCTCTGATACACTCAAGCGATGGATTGAGGTCATAGATCAATATGACTTCAAGCTAGAGTATCTGAAGGGAGATTACAACAAGGTTGCAGATGCGCTGTCACGTAGAGCAGACTACCTAGGGGCGCTAGTTTCTGAGTTTGGTGTATCTGAGGAACTAACTCAATCGTTGGTGGGAGCCTATCAGGAAGACCCTGTCACGATGGACATCATACGCAAACTTCAGGCAAAAGACAAGGCCACAGAAGATGAGTTTGTGATGGTGGATGGGATTCTCTTTCTTGATAAGGCAGGAGTTAAAAGGTTAGTTGTTCCATCTAGTGAACGTTTGCGTAGTTTATTTATAGGAGAATGCCATGACGCAACCGGACACTTTGGCTACAAAAAGACGAGTGTCAATCTAGTACAACGATTTTGGTGGCCTGGAATGCTAGATGACGCCAAGAAGTATGTAGAGACCTGTCAGGTCTGTCAGCGAGACAAGCCGCGAACTCAAGCACCGCTTGGGTTACTGACGCCCTTACCTATTCCATCTGGTCTAGGAGAGAGTGTTTCCATGGATTTCATGAACACCCTGGTGACCAGTAAGAGTGGCAAGAGGCATATCTTTGTCATGATTGACCGATTCACCAAATACGCTAGACTAATTGCCATGCCAGAGACCGCAAGGACTGAACACGTCATCAAGTTGTTTCAGGACAACTGGGTGCATGATGTTGGACTACCAAAGTCAATCGTTAGTGACAGAGATGTCCGCTTCACAAGTGAGCTGTGGAAGAAGACTGTTGAACAGATGGGCAGTCACCTTCAAATGACTTCAGGGAATCATCCCGAAGCCAACGGACAGGCCGAGCAAATGAACAGAGTTGTACAACACCTGCTGAGGCATTACATCAAGCCCAGTCGGGATGATTAGGATGAGAAGTTGCCTCTCATCGCCAGCCTGTACAACAACACTGTACACAGCAGTACCGGTGTCAGTCCTAATCAGTTGCACTTAGGATGGAAGCCTAGATCAGCTCTGGACTTCCCCCTACCTGAAAACCGATCCTCTGCAACTCCGGGCACACTTGAGTATGGTGTGCAATATGAGAACTTGCTGCAGCAAGCTGTCGAGCACATCAAGAAATCTCAGCAAGCAATGATTGCTTCTGAGAACAAACATCGTCGGCAATCCCTTATTTCAGATAGGGGAACGTGTCTGGGTCAAGGCTAGTGAGCTAGGACAAGAATTCGGGATCTCTCGCAAACTAATGCCTCAGTACTTTGGTCCATGGGAAGTCCTGGATATAGTTGGGGATGAGATGGATGGTCCTACCTATGTTATCCGAATCCCTGGTCATCTGCGTACTCACCCTGTCTTTCATGCCTCAAAGCTTACACCTTTCGCTGAGACAGATCAATTCCCTTCAAGGAGATCGATGCTGCCCCCAACCATGGATGGTCAAGTGGACATCGACGACATTGTGGATCACAGAGATATGCATGTTTCAAAGCCACTGAGTAGAGGAAGACCTCCTAAGCCCAAGCGGGAGTATCGCGTCAGATTCAGGCATCATACGGATCCAAAGGAAGATCGGTGGTTCACCTGAGAGGAACTGATTGACACAACTCCTCAAGTGGTGGCAGAATATGAGAGAATGTTAAAAGGGAAGGCACTTGTGAAGTAAGCATCTCAGCGAACTTTCGAAGCTAAGGGGGATGGAATGTGAGGATTGAGCCCTCAAGAAGGGGCCTTGCCATGATGTACATGTTCTGGGCTAAGGCCCCCAGCAAGCCTCGTGCCGCCCTAAGTGAAGGCGGGCCAGCAATTCAACAAGAGTCCTCTGTGCAAACATTTCACGAAGTGGGGTCCTTACAGTTGCAGCACGCCAGTTGGTTGGTGTGCACCGAGTATCGGAGCTCTGCAAATGCAGAAATCCCAGGGCCGCAGAGTTGGTTAGGCCCTGGGCACATAAACGTAAGGCCGACAATGCATGCTGGATATAGAGGCCGAAAATGTCGATGGGAAACCGGTCCACTATCTGAATCTGGTCGCAGGCCTTGATGAAAGAGGCGCAACTGCATCTCCTGGGCCCCAACCGCATTGGGCCTGGGTACAGGTACTGGGGCCGAGGCGCAGGCTCAAGGGAGGCCGCCCACACGCAACACTGGCATATAGGCAGGGAGGGCGAGTGGGCAGGGATCTTGGCCACATTGCGAGCAATGTCGGCACGCTGCGCGTTTGCGAGGTGCTGCGCTGCGCTAGGCTGAGGTAGAGGCAGGCTAGCGCTACAAGGTAGAGCGTTGCTTGGGCGCAGGGCGCTGGCGGCCATAGCCGGGCTGCCTTTGGGCGCAGAGGAGGTGAAGGGCGTTGTGTGGGATAGCAAGGGAGAGGGAGGGTGAAGAGAAAGACGTACCTGGTGGAGATGGGAGGTAGGCATTGGTGTTGACATCATCACTCGCTGGTCGTCAAGTTGTCTGGTTGCTTTCATATTGTAGTTGTAGTGATAGGCTGTAGAGTAGGTAGGGCGCCTGGCACCATTCAAGAGAGAGAGTTACATTGGGTTATGTTGTTGGTGTTGCCCTATTGGGCTTGGACATTGACTCACGATTCTTCTGTATCGTTCTCAAATGGATGGTTACTCGGTTTCATTGTGCTATCTGCTCTTGCTTTGACTACTTGGACTTCAGTGTGATTTTGCAATCTGGATTTCTGTGCTTCGTCCATATTCATGTTCCTTGCACATTTAAAATATTCAAAAAAAAAAAAACAACTAACCGGACTCAAAACACATCATTTTTTTTTTTTTTTTTGATTGATTAATCGATTGATTGATTGGTTGATTGGTGGGGGATAGGGCGCCCCCCCCACCCCCACCCAATCACACACCACACACACAACACACACACACACACACACACACACACATACACACACATACACACTTACTTACTTGTGTGGGGTTTGAAAGCTGTTTCTTTTTTGTTATTTTTTTTACTTTTTTTTATTGTTTATTTGTTGATTGATTGATTGATTGATTGGTGGGGGAGGGTTCGCCCCGCCCCCCCAATCACACACACATACAGGGTTGTAGAATAAAATGTTTTTTTTTTTTTTCCTATTAAAAAAAAAAATCAAAATTAGAAAAAACAAATATGGGCGTGTAGGGTTTTTCAGACACCACACGCCCATTTTTTTTTTTTTT